TTTATTCTCATAATCTTTTTGTCATATAATAGAAATAAATAAATTTTACTAGTGAATTAACTTTCTGTTTTTCTCGTTATTTGACCACAGATTTTATATATTTCTTAAAGATTTAAATATGTAAAACCGGTTAATTTATACTTAATCGTTCATCATTGATTGAAACAATTAGTAATTATAATTAATTATTATTTTTGAAAAATATGTTTAATTAGAAATTCAATTACAGTAAATAAACTCTCTTTTACGTTGCCTATTAAAAAAACATTACAGTTTGGGAAATTAAACCCAATAAAAAATAAACTAATGAAAACGTTTTTCAAAATAATGTTTTATTTGCAGTTTATCGACATACATTTCGTATATAATATGAGTTCTTTTGTTCTTAATACGATTTAGCATGCTTTTGATCAGTCTTTCACGGCTTCTTTTAATATCTTCATCATCAAACAAATTATTAGTCTTTTTCACACGTCATTACATTCTACCTCCATTGGATGATCATTTCCATAAGTTTTATAGAAATACTAACTCACAATTTTTCAATTGGACTTCCATTTAAATAATTTTCCAACCGCTCAATTTTATATGATTTACAATTAAAAATCATAATGTTAATTAAATTTACTAAACAAAAAGACACGTGTTCTCGCGATTAACACTATTAATCTAAATATCACAAAATTATTAACTACGAATCTCTAAATTCAAATGATACATTGAATTGCGTTTATCTTATACTTTTTACAAATAATTCATAAAAATATGAGATAATGAGTTTTAGAGCAGTAAACTAATTTTCATTTCGTGCAATCACTTAAATCAAGAATGTTACACTGATGTTATATATTAGAATGGTTAACGCATTCCGTGCCATCGGAAATTTCGGTTATATCTTACTTATAAAGTGCACTGATTTTTTAAATGATAGATTAAGTTACATTCAAGCTTTTACTGATTTTAAGATATTTTGATATTATTTCTTTACGTTTTTGTTATTTCCCGACGTGTACCACTATTCTTTGACACATGTCTCACAAAAAATATTCCCTTACAAAAATTGCGCGTCTACTATAAAGAGTACACGTGGCATGGAATGTGTTAATCAGTTAACTACATTTGATAAGTATACACGTTATCTTAAAGCTTGAAATGATACAATGATATCTAATATATAATCTATATAATGATAAATGATATATAATCCTTTCGACGGTGAATTATTTATTTTTTCAGATAAACGTGTAATTCTTCTTTATTTTGCTTTGGTTTTTTATTAAAATATAACCTAAGTACATTCGTCCTGCGTTTGACAAGCATACGCTTCATTTTTTTATTTTATTGCGCACAGAACGGGACATTCTTTAAACTAAATTGCATACTTAACAGGTTAAGAGGAAAGTGTTTTAAATTGAAGAAGGTGAAGTAACATCCGTTTGCTGCATTTGCTTGACATACTATCTTCAGAATTCGTGATACGCAAGACCAGCTCGTAACATTTCACCATATCGGAACACGTCGTGCTGAGAGAAGAGAGGCGGCATAGATGATGGCGAAGGTGACACACAACTGAACATATTAACACTAGCATCTGACGAATATATTCCACTATTAACAGAAGTCGTAGAAGTGGCACACGAAGTTGCAGTTGGAAGTAGCGCAGAATTCGTACTCTGATCTCCGGTTGCAACTGTATTCAAACTTGGTCCTGTCAAACTTCCTAAATACAAACACATAGAACGATGAGTTATGTTGTTTAAACGTTTCACATGAGTATTTAAAAAACAAGCGATTGTTCAATGAAATTTCATTCTATTTTTCATGAGAATGAAAAATGATCACCGCTCAATGATACGAAAATTTGTCTATCTTCAATCATTGAGAAACATAATCTTTGTAATAATATTTATTAAAAATTAGTACTGTTTCATTATTAATCGCCTTACTAATTACTGTAAGATGCGAATACGTGTAATTTCATACATCATAGAAAATTTATTTTAACCAGATTAATTCAATACAAATCGTGGATAAAATTATTAAAGTAGTATTGACTTCAAGTTGAAGTAAAAAAGAAATAATAACTACTTCATGTAAAGGAGTATCTTTTTTATATTGAACAAACAAAATAAATATAATATAAAAAGAAATAAAATAACTTGATAGTACTTTTGACATAAATACTAGCATTTTAGTAACAACTAAAATATCATTTTTTAGTTGTTTGATATAAATAATAAAAATCCATAAAACTTACTTTCTAAGCCTCACATATGCTAATACATATTAAAATCGATAAATTTGTTAAAAGAATAAAAGGCATCACGCGAAAAAAAAATGAACACATAGATACATACAAAAATAAGAAAACTGATACAATATTACTCAATTGATTATTACCAACTAAATTATAAAACGCTGTCTGAAGCGACTTGAGACAAGAATTAAGTAATTTATAAAATGTACAATTTTCAAACAGAATACAACTAAGTACGGTTTGTATACCTACAAAAAATTTTCAATATTTAAAAAAAATACTTTTTACATATAGACACAAATAGCACAAAAAGTACAAGAAAAATGAAAAAACAATCAATTTATGTGGATAATCAAACACTTTCATTAACTGTAAACTGCGTATTGTAATTTTCCATTAAAATGGAATATTAAATTAGAATGATTCAATATAATAATAAATATAACTAAAAAATAAATTATAGATAAATTTTAATACGTTTACGCTCTTTACGTTACAAAACTTATTGTATCAATTATTCCCTTTCCTATAAGCTTTCCTATAATACTTTAAGCTAATTCTTCACCTGCAACACTGGAAGTGAGTGTTGAAGCAATAGGTAGGGATGTCGAAAAATCAGTGTTCTCGCTTCTTGAGTGATCCGTCCTCGTCATATGCGGCGGACAAATAAACGCTAAGGTGGATCGTACGAGATCCTTTGCCCTGTCAGTTCTGCGATGTCTCGCATGAACAGCGGATTTACTGTTGCTACCAAATCCGAAGTGTAGAAGCTCCAAATGTCTTCTTAAATTTCGCGACTGGCGTAAAATTGCCCCGCACAGTGGACAGGGTGCTGGTTGATCCGACATACTTCTTGCTTTGGACAATCCATCTCCTAAAATGAAGTCCGTAAAAACTGAACTGACTTAAGGACACAAGAAAAGTTTCCATAACACATTGTCAACAATCAAACGCTATTGTAATCGAAACACGATTGATCATTAAAATATTTTAAAAATTGTAATACAACAAACAAAGGCATTTAAATAAATATTTATATATGTAATTTGTCTTCAACTTATCATAGCAAAAACAATTGACTTCAAATTAATTGCACGTGGATGATTTTTGTTACAATTTCATGTCTTTGAAACTATTTTTTGTCATAACTTTTATAACTTTTTTATAACTTGTTCTTCTGCAATTACACGATTTTTATTTGGAAGTTAATTTTATAAAACTATAAAGACTGTCTGATTTTCTAAAGTAAAAAGATACGTAATCAAATATAAACTCATGGACCTTATTTTTAAAACGAATTAATTGCGACGCCTTGTGTTTAGTTAGAGGGTTAAATGAATAGTTACTTAGTAGTTAATAAGTATACATAAAAACTACGATATGCAAAAAAAGAAGATTGGCAAAAAAAGCTTGAGAAAGTATTGTATATAATGATTTTTATTTCAAAGAATAGTGATGCTTTTGATGAAAATAAGTCTTTACTACCACCTTGAGAAACTTCATTACCTAATGTCGATTAGGTACGTTAACGCAAATCTCACATTCCGTGTATACAACTGTGAAACATAATGTCAGTCAGTGTATCAATAACTATGAAATGAATAAATTATGTAAATACCTAGGAACTTGATCTCTCGCCAATAAAAAGTTCATCAAACTCTTTGCAACATTAATGATCAGAAACATAAATACATACTTTTCTTCCGTTGATACCCTTAAATATGTCATTAGTGTCATATTTTTAAAAGATATGTGACAAGTAATGACAGGAATGCCAATTTCGTTGGCATATGCATTATTTAAGGGTATTAATTAAACGTATCACTTGGAAAGGAAAAATAGGCTGCAAGGTAATTAACTTGTAGTTCAACGACTTGTATGAAACTGATCACAGAGAGTTACTGCGTAAGCGAATATCCGAAAGGTATAAAAAATGTTAAAGTACTTCGCAAATACTTGTACCATTACTGTCACTATGTATAATTTTTTATCGAACGCTATCCTTGTTAACCCTATGATAACTATTCTTACTCGCTAACGTGGAAGATTTTCTTATATTGTTCCAAACTAAATGTATTTGGATCGGTACAAAAATGCGTATAAAAAAATATTCAGGTAAAAATTACGAAATAAACTATACAAGTAATATAACAACTGATTTCTACTATCAAACCGTTAAAAATAATTTTCAGGCAATTTCTCTTCTTTTAACTAACAAACCAAATGATTAATATTAAAAATTATAAACTTCTGTAAGTACATTTAATCAACACAAAAAAATTACGCTCGCTTAAATTAAGTCACTAATAAGGGATGTGCAGATACCGAAAATCACAATCGATGGAAATCGAATTGAGCCTAGAATACATACACTGTTTCAATCAATATTTCCTTTTGATACATTAATTGTTCAATTGAATAATTAATCCTCAAAATAATCTGCAATTTTGAAAATATTTAAAATTGAAATTTGATATTTTTATGATTTCACGTAGAAAGAAACTTTCATAGAAAAAATGATTTATTATAAAGTATGGATTTAAGTAATATTTATACGTGCAGTTAAATAATTATTTTGTCTATATTTATACTATTGCATTGCACAATTCAGCTGTACTTTATAATATCAATCACATTCTCTACTACTTACCACTACTACCAACAATTGTTACTACCTTCTCGGATTAGCATGAAAATGTATGCACAGATACAATATTTACCCTGATGATAAAACGGGAATTAAAATATAAACTAAAATTAAACAAAATGTAAAGATATAAGGAACAAATAATAATATAAGTAATTACAATAAACTAATAAACAATTTTAACTTCATTTATTATCATATAAACATATTTCGAAACATAGTAAAGAAACAGAAATAAAAACATAATGTGTGTTACATTATAAAAATATTATCATCACACATTGCTGTGTATAAATTCATTCTGTATACTTCCATCATTAATTTCATTTTATTCAAATGAAAATTTCTTCCTATAGAGAAATTGTCTAGCTTCCAAGTCAGTCACAACCTTAATTTAAGATTCACTAAAATATTTTGAACACAAGTTTTATGTACCATTCTAAACTCAAGACTCCCGGCATCAGTATATACCCCTTTTTTCGAAAGACTCAGTGTAAAAGAAAATCACTGAAAAAAATAAGGTAGCTCCTGAATCACAATAAACAGAACTGAACAATAATTCTGTCTGCATTGAATTTTCGCGTTTAAACATTTTCTGTACATTCATCTGGCAATCGTTGGCGACGGAATGTTGCTTTGAGGCGAAACAACATTCGGCCCCTGCGACGTTGGGGAAGGAAGTGGACTGGGCTTACAAATTATTTGCTCACAGGTACTACTTCCGCTATCGGTTCCATAGGTCATTGATTGCTCATTATAACTTGACAACTCGACTTCAGGCTTTATTTCTATCATCATCGCATCAGCTGGGGAACTTTGAACGGAATTACTACTAAACCGATATTTGCAAGAAGACAACAGATGTCTTCGGAGATTTCTCGCTTGCCGTAACGTAGCACCACAAAGCGGACAAACGCCTGGACAATCAGATGCACCACGTATTTTTGATAAATTCATATTCCCGGTTAATCCGCAAGATGCCGTCCCGGCAGCCGAACCCTGAGTAACTAGCGGTAGTGGAATTCCAGGAGGAAAACCCATACTGAGAGGGCCGGGAAATTGCGGTATATGCAGTGGAGAGTATGGCTGCATTGGCATTAAAGTGTGCAGATGTGATTCATTATCCGATATTTGATCCTGATGCGGTCCTGCTTGAGAATTTTCTGTCGACATCGGTTGCGCTTCTTGAACACGTGGTGAATGACAACTCCGATGATTCGAATATTCCAATCGATCGCTGGCTGCTAACAGACACAAACACAGTATTACCATGCAGGGCTGAACTGATTGTTTCTGAAATTTCTAAGTTCTATCTAAATAGCATTATTGTGTAATTGATTAGGCGCAGTTCAACCCAATTGATGGTTGTGCTTGTGTCCGTTTTCTAATAGCGGCAAAAAACATGAAAAGACTGAAACCTTAGATGATAACCAAAATATAATAATTTCGTACTTATTAAGACACATAAATAATTATATCGGACACAAAACACAAGTAATATAATACTTCCATTCTTATTAAATTTTTTTTACTAAATTAATCGCTAAATATACATAACAATTGAAGTAATTAAATCCACCGAATATGTAATTCTAAAATCAATAAAAAACAGAACACTTACAATAAATAGTAACAAAAGAACATTGCTTTTTATTGTGATAAATAAATATTTGGTATCAAATTACAACAGAATATATATGTATATATATGTATATCCTAAAAACTTATTTACTTTATTTATAAATCTAAAAAAGATAGTTTCCTTAATGGCGGTGGAGGAGAAAGTAAGAGAACAAGAAATGTCTATTGCCAAGGTAAAATTAGACTTAGATATTTCAAATCAATGACGTAAATTTAAGAAATCTTAAGAGTATAATTTAAGTTATGTAGTAATATTACAAACAAAGTGTTCTTGTTGTTTGGAATATAACCTCACAATCAATAGCTATACAAACTTTAGTATTTCATGTGTATAGTATAAAATGAGATTTATAAAAAAAAACAGTGATCACAATGAAAATTTTTGATATTAATATCACTATAAATTGTTCAATTAACTCCCTTACCATTTTCCTTCTAGGAACCATTCTTTACAGACAGATTCTATAATGTTTCTTACCTGTTTCATCACCATGTTCTGTATTATCATCATCCTTATGATTATCTGCATGCTTATTTTCATTATCCACATTACTGCCAGTACGTGGCCACTTTCCAGAAGATGAAGAAGACTTTCTTCTTTTCTTTCTTCGTTTTAATGGGAAGTAAGGATTAGTTGTTTCTTTTGATAAAGCTTCATTTGTTGTTGGTATTGCTGATGCAGGTACCTCTTCTCCATTCTATATAAATACAATTAAATATTTTTCAGTTAGGTATATAAAAATTATAGTAAAAAACATTTAAAAGTATTGTGTATTTAAAAATTTTACTTGACGTAATATATAATCATAGTAAACATACTTCGGTTAGTATAGTAGGTGGTGTTAACCCATGAATACAAAGACAATGAGCAGCTTGTAGTAGAGATGGCAACTGAGATGGTTCTACACTCACTTCGCCACGATAAACAAACTCCAATAATGATTCTAAATCATCTGCACCAATACCAGCTAGCATGACCACTGGATGTTGACACGGTGTACTCTATTTGTATAAAATAACAACAATATCAAATGACAGGTTTTCGTTTATAGCACATTAAAAAATAACAATTATATTAATACTTTGCCAACCATAAGAATATTATTCAACAACAGAAAAGAACTATAATTTTTTTAACATTTTCCAATAGTTGCCAATGTATTACTGCATGCATGAAAACTGTTGATATTAAAACCTTTAATAAATCTAACAGGAAAGGACTAGCTGCACAAAGAACTATCTTATGTGCAGGGAAACTACGTCCACCAGCAGCTAAAGTAACATCAACCAAATCACCATGACCTCTTAATAGCTGCACGGCAGAAGCCAAAGACGAATTGAATTCTCCCCAAGAGAGACTGTATAATTGGCTGCTGCTTCCCATTCTAAACAATGAAGTACATTTTAGTCAATTGAAACTTCTGAACAATGCAAAAATTCTTGAACATAAACCCATAGATTAACAATATCTCCATATTGCTGTAATAAAAATCAGTAATACATACTCAATTTTGCATAAGAGTTAAATGGAGTTTAACATACATAAATTGGTTTACACGACAGCACGTACAAACAAAGTTAATAAAGATTCAGGAAAATTATCCACTAACGGTGACGATATATACTCGTATCCCCCATCCACATTCTCTTAATTACTGCCCCCACCCCAAAAAATATGATCTCGGCGTCGTCCGAAAGTTAACCTAGCAAGTGCTTCTACCATTAAAACAAATAACAAAAATATTGGAAAAAAACATATAGTGCGATAATAAATTAAAAAACTTGTAAACGAATAAAAAACAAAACTAAATTGAAAGAGTTCCAGAAAATGTACTTAATACAGAATAACTTACATTGAATTATAAATTATCGCCGTAAATTATGCTTCAAATTACAACAGTCACACTTAATTCGTTGTTCACACGTTGTAGTAATAAATCCGTCAGCGGTACTTATATATTTTTACAAAGTAATATACTTTATGAGCCAAATAGACACGCGATACGTAAAATGAAATTCAAATGCTGTCAGAAATTATTATGCACGTCACATTTTACGAGACTGTGCTGCCACCATACTGTACCTAAAAAAGTTCGGTAAAACGAAATACAGTTTTGGCGGAAATTATGTACATATAGAATAGAGTCGAATATTATATACTCGTCGTAACATTAATATAATTTTTAATTACTAAAATATATAATTTCTTTAAAAATTATTACTACTTTCAAAACTGTGAATTACGATGAAAAGTTAATTTAATATGAAGACTTTACAAACAGTAAAGAAAAAAGGGAATGTATTTGTAGGTCACTTTCGTTGTTTAATTTCAAAAGTGAAAAATATTTGAAAATATCATTAGCGTTTTTAATCTTCATAAATGTATATATTACATATAATAATAGAGAAGATAAAATAACACTATTTTAAAGAAATTCATATTATAATAATAACAATGTTTTGCAAAGATAATATTAAACTATCAGCAGATTCTAATGCAAAGAGCATTACAGAAGCAAAGGTTATTGAAGTACTACGAAAAAAAAGTATTCAAATTATTTGTTAACGTACATATAACAAAAATAAATTTCATATTTTAAAATAATTTTTATTTTTGTCAGATTATACATTAAATACAGTGAATTGTTATGGGGACAATTTATTGCACATCAGTGTCGCAAATGGTTGTTTTAATATTACAAAAGAAATTTTACAAAACGAAACTTGCGGTAATATTATAGACAGAAAAAATAAATTTGGATGGACACCATTAATGTTAGCTATTCGAAATAGAGATATCAAAACAGTGAAATTTCTTTTACAAAATAATGCTGATGTAAATAAATCAACTTATCTTGGTGAGTATAATGAGTTTTTAATTTTACAGATTAAGTTTGTGAAATATAACCCTTTGCATTCTAAACTTTTATCCTATAGGGCTACGAGCAACTCCAGACTATTTTGAAAGAAAACATAAAATAAGATGAGCATGGTGAAAGAGATTCATCATTGGAATGCAAAGGGTTAAAAGAGAAACAGAATAATGTTTCTTCTTATTTAGAAAAAAATGCTTGAATGCAATGCAAATATTTCTTTTTGATAATTTATAGGTATGTCTGTTCTTGGATTAGCAGCTGCAATAGATGCAAATATGTTTCAAACTGTATACGAAGCATGTCCATCTGCATTATTAAATTCTATGCATGATGACATTACACCACTCTGTATAGCTGCTATGAAAAATGATAAAGAACTTTTTTTTAAATTACTAGATTTAGGGTTTGAAATTTCCAAAATCAGTAAGAATATACATATATTTTTTTGAATATAAACAAATTGTATAATATATAATACATTTGTAATTGGTTTCTTCATACTCTTTCATAGATGAATATACACATATCACAATGAAACTATCAACAGTACCTGAAATAAGAAATTTAGCAGAAAAAAGTGATGTAGAAGATTATTGGAGTGATATCTCAGATAATATTTCTACAGAAGTAACTTTAGAAAAGAAAGAGCTACTGCATTCTTTCAAATCAATAAAAGAAAATCAAAAGAAATATGATATGCAAACATTACAAAATATACAAAATGAGTGCAATAAGAAAGATAAAAATGATAATATTGTACCATTTTTAAGTTCTTTTAAAAATCCAACTATTGTATTTCACCCTTCGGAAGAAAAAAATGATGGCTCTAATAAGAACATAATAGAGAATTCAAATCAGTGTATAAAACGAAGACCTTCTACACTAAATTTAGTGGTAGATCATATAAATCCCATTCAAAGCAGTATAATTTCACCTGTACTGACCTGTACTCTTGATATACCACCAGCATCTCCAAATATATATTTTACTCAAAATAATTATGACAATGAAGTTAACACGGATGTAATAAACAATGTGAAAAATGAATCATTAATTCAAGATAAAAATAAGACACCAACAGAATATTTGGAATGTAATGAATGTTTACAGGAACCACATTTGCAAAGGTATGCCACTAAATATAATAATAATTCATCAAATAATTTGTTGGTCTTAACATAATTATATCTTTTGTACAGACTGCAGTCTATCCGACCACCAGACTTAAACATTCAAAATGATCAGGAGGATCTTGATGCCACTCTTACTTTTACACCTAAATTTAGCCCAATTCGTTCACCACATGTACCTGCAGATTTAAATGATGAAAATGTGTTTGGAGAAGATACACCAACCCCCCCGCATTATAGAACACCACCAAGAGGAATGATTTTGAATTCTGAAGAAACAAAAATGTGTATTTTATTGCAACATCATGGATTACATCAGCATATCCCTATATTTCTTGAGCAAGAAGTAAGTGTGTAAGACCTTTATATTAGAAATATTACAGTATAAAGTAATATAAGTGTATATAAAATTAACAATACTGCTGTTAATAAGTATCATCTGTAAACAAATCAAATTTTTTCTTGTGCATACCATTTTAACCATTTGCATAATTTATTACAGGTAGATATTGACTTGTTTATGACTCTAACCGATCAGGATTTAATGGAAATTGGTATAAAGGATGATTCAGACAGAAAAGTTATATTGAATGTTATAAATGAGTGTTTTAAATCAATGATGTAGAGACATGTATATTATTATTATTTATATTGTTATTTTATTTATTGGATATTTTATTTTTATATATAATATTTGAAGAAAATTACTATAAAAATGCAAACACAATGTTTAATTGGTTTTAATATTTAACATTTAATAATGTGCAGAAGGTTTTTCAAAATTATATGTTGTGGCTACTGTAGTGTGACTTGCTACTTGATTGACCTCGATCTTGAATTTCAAGATTAAGGAAAATAAAACATCCTCTACATATTGTTATTTAATAATATCATAATATTATTCTGTAATACCTTCATAGTTCTAAAATTATATACATATTTTTATAATTATATACGAAATTGTTTTAACATTTGTGTGTTCCTTATATGAGATAATACTTTATTAATAAGATCTAGTTTTGTTGCTTTGGAATTATGTGGAATTGAATGTTCTTTCAACCACATACTCAAGACACTATTTTTTACCATGTATAATTTATTACGTTTAGCCATTACTTCTACATCTTCATATTGATCCTATTAATGAAAGTGTTACATACATTATTTTACATAAATTAGTATAAATTTCATGTATAGAAGTACTTGCCTTTTCTTGTGGGGCTATTTCTATATTATCATTAGATTTAGCTATTAATAATTTTTCTTTTAATGTTAAATCTTTCCGGCTTTCATCTGGTGCTAACTGATTCATATATACATACATATTAAAAAAGCATATATATATTAAAAAAATATATTAAAAAGTAGAACAACGGTTACTTCTCTTTCAGTAATCTGAGTGTGTGATTTACAGATTTTAAAATATTTAGAAATTGTTTCTTCTTTGGCTACAACAATATCATTATTTAAATTTCCTGATGTTCCTACTTTATTGGAATCTTCTTTTGTAGTTTGCGTATTGTTAATATGAGTAATATTTAAAAAAGAATCTTCTGGAAAGTTATATTTCATTATAGTAATTTAAATGTATGTAATATTTGCATATTTATATTGTTTTTCTATTACCATTTTTATTATTTTTAATACTTTTGCTATTTACATCTGGTTTATTAATATTAGAATGTAATGTATTATGAATTTTATGAATTTTAGCTAACTGTGTTTCTAATGATTTAGGAATAGTATCAGTATTTCCTTTTAATTGTTCTACGTATCTAGCAGAAAGCTCTAATGGCATAGTTGAACTGGGATCATATTTTCTCTTGAGAGGCGTAATTAATTGTTTATTTTGTAACAGTCCATCAGATGTTGTATTTGTATTTAAGGTGCTCTGCATGAAACATATTATACATTCATTAATGTATGTTACAAAAATAGTTTATTATTTAACTTACTGTATCATGGAAAGCATGTTTGGATATTTTCAACTGGTTACCACAAATTGTAGGTAATTTTGCAAGCATATCAGATATAAACTGTGTAACAATGAGTTCTTTATCTCTACTTGGAAGAATATCTATTGAGCCAGAAATGATACATATATGAGGATAAATGAATGTATGCAACCTTGGTACTGGAAATTTAATTTCAAAATATAAAATTCCATCGTTACTTTTTGGTAAAGAATATCCATACTGAAATATAATATACATTTATACAACAAATTTAGAAATAATATAAATAATGAAAAACTCATTGATGTAAATATATCCACCATATTTTTCCAGTGTCTACGCATTTGATTATAATCTTTAAAAACACATGTTGGTGGAATCTCTTTAGATACAGATAATAATTTGCCTCTTTTCATACTGAAAGTATTTTAATTATTATATTATTTTTAGAAGCTAATAAATATGCAACAATTTAATACATTTGTCATACCTTGGCAAAACATGTACAAATGGTAAATTATAATAAGATAAATCAATATATCCTTTGGGATCTGCTAAAAACTGAGATACAACAGACGATGGGAGATAATCTTCAAGTTTTACATATGGCGTATTAACTCTTTTGGCATGAAGTATTAAACAAACATTCTTGTCTATAAATTTGTTTCATATTATTATAGGAAATAAATAAATGCTTGTATATAAATATTTTAGTACCTTGCAAACGAATATTTAATTTTAATGCTCTAATTGACTTGACATAATTATAGAATTCTTTTCCTTGAAGCAAGAATTGGCCAACTTTGTTCCATCGAGGTGCTATTTTAGTTTGTATTGTATAAAAAAGACAGTTTTTATAAACTTCGTCTGTAACTGGTTTTAATCCTAGATACTGTTGAAAAGAATAAAAGCAAAACCATTTCCAAAATAGATAGTGATTATTTATTTAAATAAATAGTAATATCAAAAAGTTAACAAACCACTAGCTTCAAATATTTTAAAATTTGTTTTAACTTTCCACTTTCAAAAAACATTTTATGTGTAATAACAAATATATATTTTTCGGTGCCTAATATTGGCGAAGCAATTACATCAGAAACTAAATGAATGAGTAATCTGAAAACATATTGTTATTATAGTGTAGAAAATAATTTTAAATAAAAATATGGGGATCTACATAAAGGAGGAAATAAAATATTATAATCGAGTATACCGGCATTTCAATGTTTGCCAATGAAAATTTGATTTTGCGGATGATTCACGAAATTCAATAAAATCATTTTCACAAATTATGCAATATAATTCGTTTATGTGTGGTGACGAAATATACAAAATTGTATCTTCTTTTCTCTCCAATGTAATATTAGAAATGTCCATTTTTAAATTAATCATTGCCTGAGTACTGTTAATTGCTTAATGTTCTTCCAAAGGTATAACTTTTCAAATTATAAATTGAACGTAGTATCAACTTTAGGATTCAAAATAGTATTTAAAATTCATTACTAATAGTAATTTGAAACTATATATTATTTATAAAGGAATTCCACAAACAGTTTTTTAAATTTAAATGTAGTTACAAGTAAACTTTGTAATTATTGCATTAAATAATCTATTAAAGTTGACATAATTAAAATTTTGAAAAAATATTAGGAACTATCGTTCAATAATTCAAATTGTACTTCTGTCGGAAAGGTAATGACGTCATAGTTTTGTTACATTTTTTTATTGGTGAAATATATTTAGACAAAATCTTGATAAATAAAATTGAAATTCAATATATATATTTGTTTAAACTATAATATTTCTAACAAAATTGTTAAGCATTCAGGATTAAAATGTATAACACATTTAGCTGTATCATTTTAAACGTGGATATAATGATTTTGTTTAAGTCTGTACAAATAAATAAAAATAAATAAACGGAAAACGTGTTCGTTATTATTTTTTTGTCTTAATATTACATTTTTGTATATACTCGTAATTTCTTTAGCGTATGATTAACGTAAATTTTACATTGCATGTTATATCTATTCTATACCTCATCTGTGGTCTGGGACAGTTCCTTGAGTAGAAATAGTGGGGGAACGCTGTTTTCGAGTTACTAGCGTGAGAGGATTAAGTTAGATTTACTCTTTGTCATACATATATCATATAAACTGTTATATTTGGGTTTATATGTTTCTGTCTTTCCTGAATAAATTATTCATTATTTATATAAAATATAAATAAAAAGTTATCATGGTTATCAATTCTGAAAATTTCTTTGTTTAATCAAATTTAGTGCATACTCTAGTATTGCGCCATATTACTAAAAAAGGTTTTGTTGTGTTTCAGTATAATTCTAAATTAAATAAAATTATTTTCAAGCGAAGTTAACTATATTTATTCGCAATTTTATTGTCTATAATAAAGAAACATTGGAACATAAATGAAGTTAGATATTTTAATCAATTTTATTATGTCTGTTCGTAATTCGGATACTTCCGTTAAGGTAGTTTTCATTGATCCATGTTCGATTTGAAAATTTACCTGAAGCCACTATTGACGTCATATACTGCCACTTCGGTGACTAGTCCGTATTCTTTGGTATGCTTTTGTGTCGTTAGTTTCTGTACTGTTCAGTCTCGCTTGTGTTGCTAATACATTCTTGTAAATTATTTCAGCGCATGTAAGTATTTTGTAATTAACAATTTTATATTTATGTAAAACAAACATGTTTATTAGATAAATCTTACAGTGTTATACGAAATATATAATTTCATCATCTATTTTTCAATTTGAGTTAATTTCTTACATTATTTAGTTTGATTTGCATTGTACATATATTGTGTAAATTGTATGTAAGTATTCTAAAAATCAAGTTTTTTATTATCTGAACAATCATATTTGATGAATTTTGCTGCATTATATGAAATTCATGGTTCTATCATTCATCCATCTTGTGTCATTTAGACTTACATATTGATCATTTAAACTTGGAGTGCTTGTACGTTCTTATAAATTATTTCAGAAAATGTAAATATTCAGTAATTAACAAGTTTACAGATTTTATATTCATTTAAAAAAGGTATATATTGGATCAATTCTGCAGTAATAAAAAATAGCTTCATCATTTAACTGCCATTTTGAAATGTCACAAAATCAATACTTTCATTACAAAATGATATGGGTGTATAAACTTTTTGACTAAAGATAAACATTACGAATGTTCTGTTTCATGAAGTATATAGTTTTATTCTTCGCCAAGCATATTAGACATTGGTATTACCATATTTTATGCCACACTAAGGTACATACAAAATTTCGTTTCGCCGCCATTTAGTGTACCTTCGTATGACGCATTTACCATACTTCATCGAAAATATGTGGAACATTTTATAAAAGTGTATGATAATATTAGTAAAACCAAATTTCTTTATTCTAAGAAACAGAAGAAATGAAATTAACTAATAAATTTTTATTCAATAAACAATATTTCATAAATTAATATTTCTATTACTGAAAAAAAATTCTTTACTGAAAAATATTTATACCTTTTATTTTTATTTTCTAACAGATCTCTAATTATGCAGATATTTGTAAAAACACTCACGGGTAAAACTATCACCCTGGAAGTTGAAGCCTCAGACACAATAGAAAACGTGAAGGCTAAAATACAAGACAAAGAAGGAATTCCACCTGAACAGCAAAGATTGATTTTTGCTGGCAAACAGTTAGAAGACGGAAGGACTCTTTCTGACTATAATATTCAAAAGGAATCCACTCTACATTTGGTCTTAAGACTTCGTGGAGGAATGCAGATCTTCGTGAAAACACTGACAGGGAAGACCATCACCCTTGAGGTTGAAGCTTCTGACACAATAGAGAATGTAAAGGCCAAGATTCAAGACAAAGAAGGAATTCCACCTGACCAGCAGCGATTGATCTTTGCCGGCAAACAATTAGAAGATGGCAGAACTCTTTCAGATTACAACATCCAGAAAGAATCCACATTGCATTTAGTACTGCGTCTTCGAGGTGGTATGCAAATCTTTGTCAAGACACTTACAGGGAAAACCATCACTTTGGAGGTCGAAGCTTCAGATACAATAGAGAACGTGAAGGCCAAAATTCAAGACAAGGAAGGGATCCCTCCAGATCAGCAGCGATTGATCTTTGCTGGCAAACAATTAGAAGATGGTAGAACTCTTTCAGATTACAACATCCAGAAAGAATCCACATTGCATTTAGTACTGCGTCTTCGAGGTGGTATGCAAATCTTTGTTAAGACACTTACAGGGAAAACCATTACCTTGGAAGTCGAAGCTTCTGATACAATAGAAAACGTGAAGGCTAAGATTCAAGACAAAGAAGGAATTCCACCTGACCAGCAGCGACTCATCTTTGCTGGTAAACAATTAGAAGATGGCAGAACTCTTTCAGATTATAATATTCAGAAGGAGTCCACATTGCATTTAGTACTTCGTCTTCGGGGTGGAATGCAAATTTTTGTCAAGACGCTCACTGGCAAAACCATCACTTTGGAAGTTGAAGCTTCGGACACAATAGAGAATGTGAAAGCCAAGATTCAAGATAAAGAAGGAATTCCACCTGACCAACAGAGATTGATCTTCGCTGGTAAACAACTGGAAGATGGTAGAACTCTGTCGGACTATAATATCCAAAAAGAATCAACCCTTCACTTGGTTCTGCGACTCCGAGGTGGAATGCAAATCTTTGTAAAAACACTCACAGGAAAGACAATTACTCTTGAGGTTGAAGCTTCGGATACAATAGAGAACGTCAAGACTAAGATTCAAGATAAGGAAGGAATCCCACCTGATCAACAACGACTGATCTTTGCTGGCAAACAGTTAGAAGACGGAAGAACTCTTTCTGACTATAATATCCAGAAGGAATCCACCCTCCACTTGGTTTTGCGACTTCGAGGAGGAATGCAGATTTTCGTCAAAACGCTCACTGGAAAGACTATCACCTTGGAGGTTGAAGCTTCAGACACAATAGAAAATGTGAAAGCCAAGATTCAGGATAAGGAGGGAATACCTCCTGATCAACAGCGATTGATCTTTGCTGGGAAACAATTAGAAGAGGGAAGAACTCTGTCGGACTATAATATACAAAAAGAATCCACCCTTCACTTAGTTCTACGACTCCGCGGTGGAATGCAAATCTTCGTGAAAACACTCACAGGAAAAACTATCACCCTGGAGGTTGAAGCATCGGACACAATAGAAAATGTAAAGGCTAAAATTCAAGACAAAGAAGGAATTCCTCCAGACCAGCAGCGATTGATCTTTGCAGGTAAACAGTTGGAAGATGGAAGAACTCTTTCAGATTATAACATCCAGAAGGAATCCACCCTTCACTTGGTTCTGCGACTACGTGGAGGAATGCAAATCTTCGTGAAAACCCTGACAGGGAAGACCATCACCCTTGAGGTTGAAGCTTCAGACACAATAGAAAACGTGAAGGCTAAAATTCAAGACAAGGAAGGAATTCCCCCAGACCAGCAGCGATTGATCTTTGCAGGTAAACAGTTGGAAGATGGAAGAACTCTTTCAGATTACAACATCCAAAAGGAATCCACATTGCATTTAGTATTACGTCTTCGTGGGGGGATGTAGAATTGGATGTGTCAAGAAAGCATACAGACGATTTAATGATCGGAATTGCAGCTCTTCCTCGAAACAGATTGAGCACGTTGAATATTTTAACAAGAAGAACCTGCTTTTCTGCGAGTGACCTGATATTAATTCACGTCCTCAATCTGATTGATGAAGGTAATGATTTTTGCTGCAATGTCTAGAAGAAAATTGATAGTATCGATAGAGCCATTATATTGCTTTCTTTATATACATTTCATGTTCTATACTCCTTGCTATCGGTATGTATTTCTTTATTGGTATATAGTAACATGAATGACGAAGTGTGTCATGATTGTTCCAATTATATGCTGGAACACATTCTTGTAATGCACTTGTCTTCATTAAAACATCATTAAAATTATTGTGTTGTTTTGTTATTACTGTTTCCTTGGACATTTCATTTTGCAGTGAGTGCAGTTGCTGGATATTCTTATAGTAAGCCTTTATTATTATAGAAATTATGTGTTCATTTTATATGTATATGTTCTTACTATAATGATACTTCAACAAAGCCAGTAAGGATAATGAATAATATCGGAGTCTTTCAAATTGTAATAATTGTACCGGTCAAAACGAGTTTACTATAAATATGTAGAATAAACTATACAGTAAGAAATATACTTTTGGATACTACCATCAGGGAATTTGAACGCAATATATTATTAAATTGTTTTTAACTATATATAATTTGAATTAGTTTAAAACAATCGTTTATTTCATGTCATAAGTGATTCTTGTAATGAGAAGTGTAAGAAGAAACTTATAAATCTGACTTTGTCTGATTAATGCATTGGTATGCTTGAAAAATATATCGGAATTTTTGAACGTGTACAAGCAATGAATAATATTTATTATATATCACTGGTGAGTTGATAGAATTATAAATTGTAGGTTGTTATTTATACTTCTTAAAATTACAAAATTGAATGTATAAAAATTAATTGGAGTTGAAAAACAAAAAAGATCTTGATTTATTATTCACTTTTCAGTTTCATATCTATGATTACATATAGGAATCCAATTAAGACTACATAGATACATGCTCTGCACAATTTGAATGGAAATTAGATTATAATGTAATTCGTAAACCCATGATAACTTTCTCTTACAATAAACTAACTTCGTTTTAATGAATCAAATTTAAAGAAACACATTAAAATATGTAGCGAGATATATTCATAAATAAACTTACCTTTTGTTATTATAATTCGTAAGAAGACTAGTAAATAATTATTAATATTTTACTTTTATTTTTATTAATAATTAATTTATCAATATTATAAAATATATGTAATTATTTGGAATTTGTGTGTAATTAAATAAGTTGGCTTAATATTTAGATATAATAAGCAGAAAATCTTTTTAATATCAGTTTGGTATCGAATATTTAGTATTTTCACTACTTTACAAATTACGTATCAAAATTTTGATTTATGAAATAAATTCAACAATGATCATATTATTATTATTCACTAATATTTTGGTCAAAAACTTGATAAATACACATTTAACAAATAAAAGTTAGCGGGAAAATTTAGTATAAGGTATCATTATTCAGTAACTATATACGCAATAAATAATACCATAGGACATTTTATATAGGAAAAAGTTATGAGTTTATGTCACATGGAAAGCAACTGCATTTTAAACGATTCATTAGTATCTACTTGCAAAGTGCGACTATTTACTATTTCGTAATGATTTCCTTAACGTAATCAATTGAGATTTCACTATAATTAAGTACGTTATACACGAAACATTGACAATTTATGTAATATTCTTGTTTGAGTTTAGTAATGGAATAATATATTTCCTGTGATTCGAGCATTTACATTTTCTCTGTATAATTATGTAATATCAATCGATGGACCTTTGGTACTTACAAATGAGGGTTTTCTTGTTTTTCTTTGCAATACGTTGCCGCCAAATGTTTAGCTGCTGTAACGACTATCAATTGCCAAATACTACCTGAAACATGAAGCTTTCCTTTTTTTATCGTATTATATTTTTAATAGCAGACTACATATTAAGGTTTCTTAATGAGTTTATCGTTTCTGTGTATAATGAAACACTGAATTATTTTGTAATAACTTGTCATTACAGAGATTAGGTAATATAATATAAATGGATACAAATATGGCTGTGTTAAAACAGTTACCGATATGGCTCTGTTACAACAGTTACCTGAAATTGTTTTTAATATTTACAATTTCATCCGAATAGACTATGCAAAAATTTGCTTCGTGTAAATATGTTCAATCAGAATAATAAATGTGCAGAGCAATTTCTATTTAACATCCTAATTTTGATATGTTGTTAACGTTTACGGAATCCTGTTCGAATTTTGTTTATACTAACTTTCATTGAGCACGTATTATACATATTCCATTGAGGAGGGTGGAGCAATAACGAGTCTCTCATACATACCAGACAGCACTTTCTATTTGGAACGTTGAACGCGTTACAATTTCACTTGTTTCGCGGTGTTCCTCCCTGACTCCGCCAGTAGTTTCAACGCGCAACGTTCGATGACGCCTCGACGAGTAAGAAATAAAAAAGAAATACAAAAAAAATTCTCTACGCAGGAAATATGTAGATGGTTCCGGGTTCACGGCTGTGAGACAACGCTGATCACGCGATTCACGCGCTCGGATAATAACCCTGAAGGGCTCGAGGAAGTTGTGAAGAGGGTCGTTAACGAACCTACGCTTCTGATTACTGAACGTATTGTTTAAATTGCAGATAAGAAAAACAGCGAGGAAAAATCAAACGATAATAGGTATTTTCGTTGGGATTCATGTTGTTTGATTAATGCTACATTTATGAAACTCAATTCAATGGATTTTAAATTTTATGTTTAAATCTACGAGAGCTATAAATATTATTTTTTAGTCATTTATATTGACTTAATAGGTAAAAATGAAAACTCGTTTTTTTTAATGAAAAATATTATAGAGTACTCATTGAAAATACAATAGCGAGTTAGTATTACTGTGAAAATGTATTATGAATTTTTTATAACTGAGCTAATCTGGATGAAGGAGATGTGTTGTAATGAATTTTGATAATAAGTTACATATTTATTAAATCGTAATAATGTCACATCATATTAGGTGAAAATAAGTCTAAACTTCATTCTTAAATTCAGTAATATTTATTGAAAGAATTTAATTAATTTTTTGTCTTAACCAACATGTTATCACTTATATAGTATTTACAACAAATAAGGACGATTTGAACTTTGTTTATCTAGCGTATTTAGTAAATAATCTCGTTAACAAACGTATAAGAATATTATTATAAAAAAATATATATTTGTTTCTATCATCTAAAGCTATTTGCATGAGATATTAATTATTGAGATTGAAAGCCTTTCTAGTTTTCTAATTAAATCAGTTTTCAAGAGTGACCTGAATGAGAAGAAACTTGTAGTGAAAATTACGTTTTGCCTAATGTTTCCTTTATTGATTTACTTTGTATCTCTTATCGATCATTTTTTGTCCGCATTATTGTATAACAAATTTACCAAAGATTTCTGACATATTTATATGATCGAAGAGCAGAAGTAATTAATTTTCAAGATAATAATTTTTACATGTCTTCCGTTTTTCTAATTGCGATAAGAAATTTATAAATCTCAATAACTCCTTCGTTTTAATCTAAAGTTAATGAGAAGGTACCTATTGTTACTATTTATTTTAATTGAGAGCAATAGGATTGATAGTAAGTATTAGATATACCTATTTTAAGTGTATCTATTCATAAACTACTGTTTTAACGAATAAAACTAAATAAATGTTATTTAACTGTACACATTGATGTGATACAATTTGTCTTTAATGCGAGACACTGCACGCCACTCCTCTTCGTTGTTCATCTTAACTATATTGATTGCCTTCCCGGTATTTATGGGTTACGAAAAAATTGTTCCACAGTTAAATAAAGTTACAAACTACTCTACACTATGACTATTATAAGTTATAACTATATAATTATAGGATGTGCTCCATGAAAGGAATGAAATGATAAAAGAAAACTAATTAGAATACAGTACATTTTATTTCATATTTTAAATACCAAAGAGATTTACGTGATCTCATTTACAAAGCTCATCTTACATATCAATAAATTGCATAGGAATACTTTAAAATATTCAAAATATAAGAGAATGAAACTAACAACGTCAAACGAGGAACGTATGTAATTGTACAGTGAATTATAGTCGCACAACTATAAGAAAGAATCCATCATTTTTAGTCTTAGCAGAAAATTTTATTATTTCAAATAAATTTTTAAATATTAATCTATAAAGTGGAAAATGAACCAGTAGACAAAAACTATTATTTATATTATATTTTGGATTAATATTTAACAATTTATACAAAATAATAAAATTTTTTGTTAATACTAAAAGTAATGAATTTCTTTCCGACCATCCTAATATTTGTAAATTACAGTATTTCGTTTTAAATTGATATCAAATACTGTGTATTAAAGAAGCTTATCGGTTGCAACATAATTTCCTACTTCTGGCACTTTAATTACCTCCAGGAATGTAAATTTCTGTACGGAATCATCTCTGCAACATAGTACATGTGGCTTTTCCCGCTATTCAGTTAGGATTAATTGTGAATGTAGAAACGAAAGGTCGCGGATTCCCACGTTGCGAAAATTACCCTTGGATAACGGCCATATGTGAAATGTTAGTGATCTCGGTCGTGGGTGGTATTTGAGGCATTCCGTTATCCGTTGCACCCACCTTCGTCCTATAATATGGATCACAGTTACGGAAAACGCTTTTACTCATATGAAATCTCTTGTAACACATTTAATCGGTTTACTGAATACAACGCGACAAATGTTCTATGTTACACTTAGTTTCAAGAAAATTGTTCTAAATATTTTTCAATAAACAAGTTCAAAATTCCTTTTTTTAAGGTACAAATCTTTTTTACAAAGAAAACGTATTTTTTCCATTCTGTTGAGTGAAAATAATAATTCTCAAAGGAATTCTTTTTATGTAACTCGATGAATCACTATATTTCATTCACGTTTATTTCATTCATTGGAAATGATATCTTTACTTGTAAAATATCATCAAAATAATACAGAATCAAATATGTACTTAGATAAACACGGAAGATATTTATGCAAAAGCTTTTATGTAACATCATAAAAAATATATGTTTAATTAGCATTCGAAACTAGATTGAAAATATAGTCTGCAGAACTATGAATGGGTTTATAGTAATTCAATTATTTTCTTTGGAAATAAAATAATTATCAAGTGTAAAATTATTTTTTTAAAAATTCTGGATATCTGAACAGTCTATAATCATTGTTCTTTGAAGAAACTAGTTT